CTTAATCTGCTTGCAGGTTTATTCCAAACTACTTTTAAGTTTTTTTTCCATATGTCTTATTTCTCTTTTTGAATCAATTTGAGATGTACTGTAATGATACAACAAATGTGTGTGTGTGTGTGTGTGTGTGTGTGTGTGTGTGTGTGTGTGTGTGTGTGTGTGTGTGTGTGTGAAAGAGAGAGAGAGAGAAACCTTATTACCATGGCTATTTGGTATGGCATTATTCTCTTGATTCACCTCTAATAAATTGTCTGAGTCCCTGAAGGTAATCTCATTTTCACTGTTCTCTTCTCTCTCTACTTTTTTAAGATATTTGGGTCATTTTAATTTTTTTAAACATTGTGCCTCAAACTAAATAAAAAGGTGATGTAGTCCAGAGTCCTGATATTATCAGGCTTTTCTCTTTGGTTGCAGGGTGACGCGCAGCGTTAAAACCTGACGCTCTGGGCGACGACAGTGAGCCAATAATCGGCTTGATCGGGTTGATGCCACATCTCGAGATCACATTACCCATTACCAACCAACCAACAATAACCGACAGCAAACCTGGGGTTGACCGTCAATGACTGCCTGACGCACTGGTGCCAAACAGTCCCACAGGAACCACCTATTTATTTATTTATTCATCACCACATGTCCCATTGACAATACCGCATCTCCGCAACGCGTCCACTCATCTCCATAAACTCTCCTCGGCGTAATTGTCTGCCCAGATGTCCGAAAGTGTGCCTCAAATTATCTCCGAACGATTGAAACCCGGCAATAACTGAGCTGATTAGAGCAGATTAGGTTCGAGGAGGGAAAAGAGGGGAAAACGGGACTATTTTCATTCCATTTCACAACTCACTGGCTTTGGATTTGATCTGAGGTTTATTCTATGACAAATGAAGGGAAGCTGCAGAAGATTTCCCCTGACGTCCTAAAGACCTCTTCCGTTTGCTCTCACTTTCGAAATCGGATTAACCCACTGAAACACTGCGCAACCTTTCAGCCTCGGGTTTGTGATATCAGACCTCAAGCTAAAAAAAAAAAAAAGACACTTGAATCTCAGGGGTGGGTGTTGTTGGGAAACAATCTGTTGCTGTATTGTGCGCTGCAGTTTGGTCCGCTGTTTGTCTCGTTTATAATTGCCATCCGGGTGTGTCCTAAATACCCCCGAACTGGGACAGTGTATTCTTTATCATGTGGCTCTCCGCAGAAGAAAAAAAGGGGAGGGGAGGCTTAATAACCTATCAACAGATGCGCAGACCGCTACCAAAGACAAAACGTTTAGTGCGCAACCCTAATTAGAATATGCAAATCACCGTGTGAGTTATGTGGGACGCTTGGAGCTGCTAACGGATCAATCAGAGAAGGAGATGAATTAATTGATTAATTGATAGGAGGTGTTGACCAGATGTGAGTGTATGAGCCCTTCCTTAAATTTGTCCTATGAAAGATTTCATTTTTTCCTTCCTTTTGTTCTTTATATCAAAGAGAATTGGTCCCTCTATTTATTATTGGCATAATTCATGAGAAAGCATGGCTGTTATTAAGATGAATTTGCACGTCAGAACAACTATTTCATAGCATGATTATTTCGCGTCTTTAACGGACGAATTAACTAATTATGGCCTCCTTTGTGAAATGTAGTGTTTATCGATTAATACAGCTTTTAGGGCCTTCAAAATACCTTTATTGTTCTAAGAAAACAAACACGAATGTCGGGCCTATTAAAGAGGGTAGAAGCACAATTTTATCCAGGTTTAAATTACATTAAATTATATTCATATTCTTGTTTTCTTTGTTTGTTATTTAGTTATTTTGCCAGTAATTTTCAATACTGACATCGTTTGATGCTGATTTCCTGGACTTGATGGGTTAATCTGGCTGTTTAAACTCAATGAGTCGGATCAGATGATCACACATAGAAATGCCAAGAGCTGCAGTGAAAGTAAGCCTTATTCTCGATGTAAGACAGGGGAAAAGAGTATACGCTGTCATTTCAAACCCAAAGTTTTTCCGATGAGGGTCTCTAAAGCAGCTCCTTAAACTGTAGTAGTGATTGATCATCACCAGCCGGAGGCTAGTAGCTGTTTTACAGAAAATCCATCAAAATTTATTCCGCATGTGCGCTAATAAAGCTCCGGAGCAACCACAAACTTAGTATGCAGTCTCTCCTCTCTTGTGATTGGCTGCCGCCTGTTGAATAAAAAGAGCAGTGGAGATAAAGAGAGAGCGTCACATTGCGGACTGCACCGGGGACTCTAGCTTTTTTTCTTTCTTTTCTTTTTTTTGGAGGGAGCGGAACAAAAAGTGGGATCATGACGGGGAAGGAGGGAGCAGTGCTTTCAGACTCGGAGAATAAACAGAAATCAGCTTCACAGACTTGCGTGAGCCACGGGGGAGCCCACCAACAGCCGCCTGCAACCTGGAAGATGGCCCCCACTGCGCAGCGGCGCACCGGCTTTGGGATCCAGGAGCTGCTCGGCCTAAACATAGAGCCGCCGGCGGCACCGAGGCGACCGCTGGAAGCTCTGCCGCACAGGGCGCACATTCTGGCCGCCAGGTCAGCCCTGGGACATGGAGGCCTCGGGGTCGGCGTAAGTTTACTGCGACCAGAGGGCATACACTCGTTTTACAGCCAGCCTGCTTTTCTGGAGGTGCTGTCAGAGGCGCAAAATGTGCACCTGCAGCCGCTGCACAGGACAACGCGCGTGGACTCGGAAATGGACGCGCAGCACTCCACCAGCTCCGGTGAGACTTCATGTCGCTGAAGCACGAGGATAGTTTCAGTCAGTGTTTGTAATATTTAAGTTTATGTGAAGATTAAAATGTCATGTCAAATCCCAGAACCAACGTGAGGCAACAGGGGAAAAAAGTCTCACTAAGAGCAAATGACAAAAAGAAGAAACGAGTTGTGTTGAAAATGCGCAAGTTAGGGTCGAACGGAAAAGGCCTTTGTATTTATATTTATTAATTTATTAAATTATTCATAAAATAGTTGTTTTGTTTTTTTTACATGGCTGTGTTTTTATTCCAGGTGTGATGTGACACATTTTCAATTTTCCATTATAATATCTGTGTTGTTTTTATATTTATTTATCATTTATCATCAAAGAAGATGAATATGATAATTTAAATAAATAATCGGCTCCAGTTTGTTATTATAATTATTATTAGTAGTAGTAGCAGTAGTAGTAGTATTGTTATCAGTTATAATATTTTTTAACCTTTAAACTTTAAAATCATCCACAGATTCTGATGATATGAGCTCCTCCGGCGATCAGAAATTCTCCAAATCCTCTATGGGTCAGAGCAAGAAACGAAAGAAAAGACGACACAGGTAAAAACAAAACAAACAAACAAAAAAAAAAGCCGAAAGAAATATTAGGTCGTTATTTGTCGGTTTGGCCTTCAAGACACAGTGACTGTCATATATGATCGGTGAAGCTCACGTGAGCTTACGGTGTTTTATTTAATGCCGTATTTGGCGTAAGAATAAAGAGATTTTTCTGATTTCCTTCTGGATTTTCTTTTTGACTTTTCTTTTTAACGTGTTCTTGTTGCTTTTCTCTTTATAAAAAAATATTAAGGATATATATTTTTATTTTCGTTTTGTTTTTTTCTGTATTTGTATTTATTCACAAGACACAAGATATGTTCATATTTATAGGTGATTAAATCTGAAGTCACCATTTTCTGGTTTAAGTGGTGCCTATATATTGCCTTAAAAATGTAACTAAGCTGATATCAATTAAAAATAATAAAATACTTTATTATGATATTTTTTTCATAAAAAGATATTTCCTGAAAAATAAAAACCAGGTGAAATGAATTAACAGGCACAAGAAAAGCCATCATCATTGATGACTAATCAGACTGAAAGCATTTAAAATATGAGACTGGATTTAATTAGTTATACTGATTGATTTTAATAAGACTAAAAAGGCATCCAATCGTTTTTGGTCTTATTTTTCCCGCAGAACAATTTTCACATCCTATCAGCTGGAGGAGCTGGAGAAAGCTTTTAATGAGGCTCACTATCCAGACGTCTATGCCAGAGAAATGCTCTCCATGAAGACTGAGCTACCAGAAGACAGAATACAGGTGGGATCATGTCTCTGCATGAAAGCAGAAATCCACACTCTGATATCGTATATTTTCCACATGAAGATGTTTTCATCAGCTAACATCTTGATGTCTTTGACATCAAAACGTGGGCAGGTGATTCAGCTATTTGGTGCAATATGAACACTACCTCAGAGGTGACATCTTCCGTCACTATAGCAGACAGATAGAGCCAGCAGTCACCTGCTCCATCATCATCTTCACAAGGTCTTCACATTAGCAGGCACTTCACCTTCACACTGTAATTAGTTAATAGAGGAGAACTTATCACGTCTCTTCCTGGGAGAGGCAGGCCGCAGCCCTGAAATGAAATGATAACTACATAGAAATTAATTAGCAGAGGTCAGCGGTTGAGCAGGGGCCAGTGCCCGGCTGCTACGAGCATTTTAATTTCCCGTGATATTTGAGCGCCTGTCTCCCATCGACCGGGCCTGGAAATTAACTTATTTTTCAATCAGCCTCTTTGCCCCCCTCGGGTCACCTCGCAGGAAGCAAAGACACACACGCTGTCATGCACACTCACACTGCTGCTGTCAAAAAGCATGATTGCTCATCTGGGGCCCATCTTTTTATGAGATGGAGGTTATCGTCAGATCTACCTGAATAGCTTTCCGGACCCGGCTTTCATCGTTTTTAATTCCAGGTCTGCAAAACGCATGCACACACACGCATGCTCATGTCCACACACACACTGACACACGCGCTCCACACACCATTTCATACAATCTCATCCTGCATCCACGGCCATTTTAGGATGCTCATTTTTTTTCCCCCTGTTTTCCTCATCCATATTCACAAGCAGGCTGAGATTATTACACGGTCTGGCCTGGTGGAAATCAATTTAGGCACCTGAAACAGAAACACACACACACACACACACACACACGGGATAAGCATGCACGGGCTCAACACATTTGTACTGAAAATTAAAGTCCAGTTTGTGTGTTCAGACTCATACTGTGCAACACGTGCAAAAGAAAACATTTTTAAGAAGATGTTTTTTAAGCCTCATTGCAATCTACCATTCATATCCCAGTGCAACAAATAAAATATTACTGCACTCTGACGTGAATTGTATTGTAAGGAGTTCAAAAAGCTGCAAAATGTAGAAATGAAAGGAAAATGACTGTTTAAAATTTTTTCAGAGTTTTCATAATTTTCCATTGTGCAACAATATTTGTCATTTCTGCAGAATGTCTCCAAATGTGTTTCCATATCGCACACATGTTAATTGCATGCTAGACAATTTTTTCCACTTCTGATATCACATGTTCTTCTCCTACATGCATAAACAGCCTTTATAACAGGGGTGTCAAACATAAGGGCCAGGGGCTAAAATTAGCCCGCCAAAGAAATATGTGAAGGACATAAATTTTAGACTTTTAACTCTATTTTCATACGTTTTACAGCTTTTCCTACTGAAAAAGACCTCCTCTGAGACCATTCATACTATAACATTGTAAATAAGTAATAGATAAACCATGAAATTACAGAAAGTTCCTGTATTTTAATGTCTAGTCTAGAAATGTATGATGTGCACAGTTGTTATATCTGACAGTCACTTGTCAATCTCCTGATTAGTTTAGCAGAGGCTAGCTAAGAAAACTGGTTTCAAGAGCTAACATAGACACACATATTCCAGCTGTTCAGCCAGAGTCACTTTAGGTCCTTGTTCGTCAGGACACATGAGCGTGAAATTTCTTACAGGGCAGCTGTGGCTACAACTGTAGCTTGCCTCCACCAGTGTGTGAATGTGAGAGTGAATGAATAGTGGCATTGTAAAGCGCTTTGGGTGCCTTGAAAAGTGTTATGTAAATCCAATCCATTATTATTAAAAACCAAAATAAAAATCCATCAAACATTTCCGTTGAATAAATAGAGAAGAGTGTGATAAGCTAACAGAATTTTTTGTAATTTTACATAAAAAAAAGGGATTACATGTGTGATAAAATGTCCTCACCACTTAAAATTATCTGTCCAGGTGTGGTTTCAAAACCGTCGGGCCAAATGGAGAAAAAGGGAGAAGTGCTGGGGGCGCAGCAGTGTGATGGCAGAGTACGGCCTGTATGGAGCCATGGTCCGCCATTCCATCCCGCTGCCCGAGTCCATCCTCAAGTCAGCCAAGGAGGGCAGCACGGACTCTTACGCGCCGTGGTTACTGGGTGAGTCCCATGGGTACTACATGTCAATCGCCTTCCTCACAACTCTTATTAATTATGAATCATCCTCCATCATTTGATATGCATTTAAAAAAATACACATCAGAAGCACATTTTGCAGAAATCTGCTAACACTCTCCTTTCTTTGACTGATAAATCAAATGCTAAACAATTAAAACAATCTTCTTTTATTTTGGTTGAATCCACCTTTAAGTTATTTGTCCAAAAAAAGTCTCTTGATGCAAAAAGAAAAGAAACCTATATATTAGTGGACTGTGTTTGAGATTGAGTTGTGTCCTATGAGGACGGGGGTTAGCTTGCCTGAAATCAGGAGCCAATAAAGGCCTCAGCATGTCATTAAAAAGGTAGAAGTCAATACAGTGATAATCCTACTTCATCAGGGCAGATTAGACCAGATCTCCTCTCTCACCTCATGTCAATTGATTAGTTTAAATCAATTACGTAACTCTAATTGAATAATAGGTTCTATTTGCCAATCTATCCCTATGTATGGATCATTCCTTAATGCTCCTTTTTTTTACTTCACTGTCAAACATCTCACTACGTTCGTTAAACCTCATTTGAACTCACAGAAATAATCACAACAGGAAAGCTCTTTCATCTGTGACTTCTCCGTTCTCTTCTTTAAAAAAATACTGTTTTCCTGTCCAGGTATGCACAAGAAGTCTCTTGAAAATATCCACACGTCTCCAGGAAAAGCCCACAGCCTGACAACGCCACCAGCTTCACCGGCACAAGAGAAATTGGTGGATAAAGTGATAGAGGAGGATAAGCCGAAGCAGAATAAAGACACCGGTTCACCGATTTCTAAAGAGGAACTGAGGGAGAACAGTATTGCTGCGCTGCGAGCGAAGGCGCTGGAGCACAGCGCTAAGATGCTCGGGACAGTTTCTGACAGAACAAACATTCTCGTAACTCGTAAAGAGGAGGCCGAGGAGGAGTTGACGGAGAAGGAAACGGCGAAAGTGAGGAGCAACTGAAAGAGGCTACGGGATGCGCTCTGCAGAGTGGCAGTTCTAATGTTCAGAGGCGGCAGTCTTGTTGTGTTGGTTAAACTGAATCTTGATGCACGCGGAGTCACTTTGTGTTATCATACGTTCATTTAGGTTTATGTCTGAAGTCAAGTCTTTAGCTCTGCTGACTGATTGAGCTTCAATAACTCAAATGTTGTAATGTTTGTACAGCTAACCAAAAATGCACAACACATTTGTGCATGTCTTCTCCTGCAGCTGATGAGGAAGGGAAGGGAGGAGCACAGAAATGTTTTCTTTTGAATTCATAATGCCAGGTGGCAAATTAGAAGGAAAAACCTGACTTCCCCACATCTACAGTTAGAGGATCGAGTGGCTTTGATGTTGTTATTGTGCTGTTGTGACATGGTTTGGATTCACTTGACCCCTTTAGATGGAAAGCTTGTTGGAAATCGATGCAAAGTTGATCTGAGCGACCGCTTTCATGCTACGATGCAACTTTTCTGTCCTACTGGATGACACCGCCTCTGTCCACACAGGACACGAGGGATCGTGATTGATTATTCGAAAGTAAAATCATGTGAATTGTGAGATACCTGTATAGCCGTAAAGCAGTGGCAGGTTTTGTTTTGTCTAAACCAAATGAGGGAATATATTTTTGAAGAATGCTCTTTGATCACTGCAGTGGAGCTCAATCAATCCTACGGCACGCTGAACTTGCTCTGGCAGCACATTAGCATATAAAAAAAACTTTGTGTTGGTTTATTTTTAATGTAGTGTGTCATTCTTCTGTCATACAGCTACAGCTCTGTGATTTGGCAGCTTTTCATGTAAGCAGAGCCTGGATTCAAGAGACTTTATATAACTTTGACCTCTGACTTCTCTGTGACCCCACGTCTCGGCTCGGTAACTGACACAGGTATCATTAAAACAGTCGATACCAAATCCTGTAAAAAGGTTTCTTCAGCTCTTAAATAAGTGGTGTAAATTTTGAACATGCCCCATAGGTAATATGGCGTTATGTATAGTTAACACCAAGTGTGTGTTTGTTTCTGTATAAATGTAATTGTAGCAATTAAATCTTATTGGTATTTAAATAATGTGCTTTTTGTTGCTTCGCGTGACCTGTGCAGAGTTTGAGAAAGGTTCATTTCACTGTGGAGATTTTATAATGCCATGCAAAATAAAACCTAGGTGGTTGGAAGTAACATTAAAAAACTAAACAAAAAAACAATTGAAACTGAGAGGATGAAAGTCAAAAGGCCAAAAGCAGTCGTACTGGGATCATATATAATGATAGAAAATGATCTTTCGCCTAAATTAAAATGATGCTGATGCTGAAAGGTGAACAAATCCAAATCCTTTTAATATACTGTAGTTAACTATAAATCCAGGAATGACCGGCTGTCAAAGACATGTCCTTTAACCTGCTGTATCACTAAATCCTGCATTTAAAACACGCTTGGTTTAGCTCTGTAAGACAGCACTGAATAAAATCAGCAGGCAGGTCATTCGGCATCTGTTTCAGGCATATTTCGCAGGTGAATCAACCTCTGAAAAGCTGCTGGTACTTGAAAACTATAACCGTTAGGGCAGAGGTTAATGGGAATTTCACACTGACAGCAAGCGATTATGAAAACAGATGGATGGTTTCTTTATAACCTGTTGCAGAATGCACTAAGCGGCACTCTGGAGCCTTTTAGCCTCCAATCTCTTTTAATGAGGTCTGTATGAGTTGCAGAACAGAGAAGAAAATAGAACTAAAATAAATACTATTACGATCTACGTCCCTACCCTCACCTATGGCCACGAGCTGTGGGTAGTGACCGAAAGAACAAGATCCCGGGTACAAGCAGCGGAAATGAGCTTCCTCCGAAGGGTGGCTGGCCTCTCCCTTAGAGATAGGGTGAGAAGTTCAGCCATCCGGGAGGGGCTCAGAGTAGAGCCGTAGAGAGTGATGTGCTCCTCCGCATCAAAAGGAGCTAGCTGAGGTGGTTCGGGCATCTGACAAGGATGCCTCCTGGGCACCTCCTGGGTGAGGTGTTCCGGGAATGTCTCACTGGGAGGAGGCCCCGGGGCAGACCCAGGACACGCTGGAGAGATTATATCTCTTGGCTGGCCTGGGAATGCCTTAGTGTTCCCCCGGATAAGCCAGAGGAGGTGGCTGGGGAGAGGGAGGTCTGAGCTTCTCTGCTTAGGCTGCTGCCCCCGGATAAAGCGGAAGAAGATGGATGGATGGATGGATGGATAAATACTATTACATATATATGCCAGTGTTAATATTACATATAAAATTAAAGATGACCCAGTGGTGTGGGGGTTAGCACTGACACCTCACAGCAAGCAAGTCCTGGATATGAGGACATGTTCTGTGTGGGTTCTCACAGACTTCCTCCCACAATACAAACACATGCCTGTCAGGTTGATTCTAAATTAGCTGTACATGTAAATGGTTGTCTGTTTCTCTGTGTTTGCCCGGCAACAGTCTGTTGACCAGTCCAGCTGTGATGGGGTTAAAGGTGGGATAGGATAAGCAGTCAAGAAAATGGATGACTATTAAAAAACTGGTGAGTTAAGGTCTTAGAATAAAACATGTTTTTTAGTACAGAAATGACTAACCAACCTACTTAAAAAACCACGGAGGACCTGCTGTAGTGACACATGTCATCACAGTTGCATAAGACTGGATAAAGTTTATTTATACCAAAAGTTAGGAAATTAGTGTGCTACAGAAGCCAAAACACACAACCTGTACAACACAGCTTGAATAAACAGGACCTATTATGTTTTTGCTCATCTTTGTTATACACTGAACGTTATGGTGAATGGGGGTACATTAAACATGGCTTTAGAATAAGGTTAAAACATGTGCAAGCAGTCCATGTGAGCCCAGGTCCCAGGCAGTTTTTTCTTCTCCTGGATCTACATGATGTCATGTAAAGCAGATCATCCATACCAATCAGAAGAAAGGCCCAGTAGAAGATAAAAGAGGATTATTTTTGAATTATGAATCACGCAAAGTTTCTCTCGTAAACTTAAAGAAAAAAGTATAAACCTGGAATTAGGTATGATGGAAGTTTTACTTTTATAAAGTTTATCTCAGCACGTCTTTATCTTTAAAGCAATCCTCACAGTGATGTGTAAAATACAACAAGCAGAACTTTACACTGTTGTAAAGCCTATGTCTTAGCTCTCATTAATGGGCCGATTGATCCAGATATTGATTGCATTGGCTCTATACTAGCACAATAGGATTAATACTATGTTTCTATCCTTCAAGTTGTGTATGCAACCCAATGAATTCTATTAAATTAATATTTGGGGGGAAATAAACAAATATACTTCAAACTGGTATTTATTTGGTGTTGGATCGATACCAACTGCTCTTCTTTACTCACCCTACATACCACTCTTTTGAGCCAAACAAAGCAGTTCCACTTGGTGGCCACATACGAAAACACCGTTAAGTTAACACGCTGTACGCGGCTGCAGATGGCATCGTAGGTGGAAGTCTGTAAAGTGAAGACATCAAAGCCAAAGTTAAACCGTACTGCGGATGTTCGTTTATATCCGGAAACAGAAGCTCAGCGAAGTTGTTTAAAGCGTTTAAATGTGAAATAATAAGGATTTGTAGATGTAAACAAAAATACGTGGCTATGATGGTCCAGCATGCAACGTAAACAGTGAGTCTTATTGTTGAAAGTGAAAGTGGTGGATTTGAGAAACAGTTTGTACCCAGAGGTGAGCAATGTTTGGAAAGACTTTAATGGGGTTGATTTCCACATTACCCAACTTCACGGTGAAAAACAACTTGCAAATCTGTGGGGGTGGGTTCATTTTCTTGATATGTTCACAAGTGTCGGCTCACTAGTTTGTAACCGCCCTTTAACGCATCACTCCTCAAGCCCTTCCTCTTTGAACTCTTCGGAGTTTCCAAGTTTTCACCTCTCGAAATTTAATCTGTGTGATTTCCAGGATATCTCAACGACCTCATACGTGACGGGAACATCGTTCAGCAAGCGCAGAGCACTTTCACTGACAATATGTGGCTACCGTGCGGTTGCACTTCCAAGTACGTCGCTTCTTCTTTCGCTCGTCGGATTCTTGCTTCTTATCTCCATGTTTCGGGTCGAAGTCGGTGCAACGTCGCGGCGTTCATGCCGGAGGCTGCGGGCTTAGAGGGGGTGTCGGGCCGCGCGGCGCTGCGGGAGTTGTCCGTCTCCAACAGTGAGAGCTTCTGGGCCGCTGTGGCGCGCCACAGGCTCTGCTGGAGCACTGCTTTCCACACCGTGCAGGACTGTGACCTGAGCCGAGGCAAGATCAAGTGGTTCGAGGGAGGAAAGCTGAATGTGTCCGGTGAGATTGCGTCAACTTTTAAGTAGAATACAATAAGCATGTGTGGCATCGCACAAAGTTTTCTGTGCTCCCTTTATGTTGAGAAGCAAAGCCAGCTACTACTGTGTGTCATATATCTGCACATACAGTATCCTCATGGCACTGTGCTGATTAGTACACAAGGAGACCTCTGTCATCTCTCTGCGTGCTTCCTTCCGGACTCTTGCAGTGAACTGCTTGGACCGCCATGTGCACACCTGTCCTGAGAGGGTGGCTCTGATCTGGGAGAGAGATGAAAAGGGGTCAGAGATGAAGTACACGTACGGGTGAGTAGTTTGGAGTTGGTGTTGCACTGATGGTTCTGGTTCCTGAAGTTCATGAGCACGTGTTTGCAGAGAGTTGCTGGAGATGACCTGTCGACTGGGCAATCTGTTAAGGCGGCATGGTGTGAAGAGGGGGGACTGCGTCACCATCTACATGCCTACCTGCCCGCTGGCCGTGGCGTCCATGTTGGCCTGTGCCCGCATTGGTGCGGCCCACAACGTGGTGTTTGCGGGCTTCAGCGCGGATGCCCTGGCAGAGCGAATCAGGGATGGTGAGATGTTATTATTGAGCTCCTAAAGCTGCCTTAGAGCTGCACCTGTCAACATTTTAATATCACAGCGGAGCAAATGACATCATGTGCTGTGCCAGTAGGCACTACTCATCGACCCAATCTGTAGTTCCCCTCAGCAAGGACCCCCAATGTTTTATACTTAATCATTTTTGTGATTTAGTTTTGGTTCTTCATGCATGATTTTGCATCTGTCTTAGTAAACGGCTCTAAAAACTAGGAATCAATATGTAACGTATGTCTTTAGGGGCAGGGCAGGATGTTTACATTTATAACATTACATCAAATAAGTCACAAAGTTAAAGACACTGAGTGAAGTG